GGAATAAAACGCATTATTTGCTAAAGGTTTAGTGCTCGAATTTTCGTTCTGGAACTTGTTTCTGCTAAAGTTGATTAATTTTCTCTTAATATGAGCAAATATTCGTTGGTGCTCAAGAGATGGTGGTCATGTTGAATAAATTATTGCCAATGCCACAATGTGTTGGATTACTGTCGTCAGATGTCCACTAGTGATGGTAAATATTGCTAATTGAAGTCTAGTATTGCTTCATGTCGCTCAACGTAGGCGCTCTGCTGTTATAATACTGTCATATTGCCGACGCTGTTTTTCCCACAAGTACAGTCAATCAGTTGCATTCGCATATGCGTTGACAAAATGTTTGGTTTATTCAAGATAGACATCTTTGGATACGCAGTGAAGATTTGGCAGAAAGGTGGCGGTTATTTATAGTAGACGTTGAAACTGGAGTGTATGACCATTGGTTTCAAGGCCTTGTCTCCTATGTTTGTTCAAAGACGTGATGCAGCATGTAAAGAAAAGTAAGAATATTGCTGACGCAATTTATTCTGGCTCCCATCTGATACAGTCAGTAAAGTTAGCTTTTGTAATAAAGTCGTCGTTGTTCTTTTTCTGCAAAACCGAAGATGTAATTTTACTGATGATATTATTCTGATAGGCGTGTTATAAGATTATTATAAAGGTGAGTTGAGGAAGTTCAGGAATTACATGGGGGCTTGAACAGCATGCTTGATATGGCTTCTTGGTGCCTAGTACCCAAAACACAAAACAACTTAAGATGAGCCGAGAAGACACCAACGTGGCGCTGAGCTGACAATTTAACAGACTTGGAAAAACAACTGTGGTATAAAAGAAGCGTGGTATTTGCGCAGAACAACGAAACATGAGGGAAAATGCAGATGCATGTGATAAAGGACTTACAACAAATACAATCAGCTTGATTACCAGCACAGTCTCAAAAAGCTGTCGCGTGTAAGAGTAGCTTATAAAAGTCTAATTTCACCTGAGTGAAAGAAAATGGAGGGCATGAATACACAAAAAACACAACTTTAGTGCCCTGTCCGTGTCTTGCTTTTGTCCCGGCCAAAACGCTGTTTTAGTCTTCGCCAGCAGGGGGTGGAATTCATTAACTATACAGCTACTAACTCTGTTATTAACAATATAAACTTTCCAATGTGTGCGAGGCTGGTGCCACAAGTACAGTTGCATGAAGCTCTCAGAATGTGTGTGAACAATCAGTAAAAACAATAATGAAAGGTTCATTTCTTCGGGTGCACACCCACGCATCGTGCAGGATGTGGATATGCTTGACAAGGTATGACGTAGTGACCATTTAATGGTAAGGTTTCGAGTGTGCCTAGACTTACAGAAGGAACAGCTCAAACTGATACGCAAGAAGTCAATGAGTGAGCCAGCATCATGAGGGCAAGCACAGGAATTCAAAGTCACGCTTCCGAACAGATACTCAGCTCTTATCGAGTAAACCTGCCTTTACAATGACACAATGAATAATAATCTGATGAGTATTATTACTGTGTGTGCAGTATTAGTTGTAAGTACGGTTGTTAGACAGGACACTGGCAAGCTGTGCCAGGAGACAAAGAGCCTCGTTAAGAAACGCCAAAGCTTGAAAGCCTCAAACACAACAGACAAAATATCACGGGTTGAGCTTTCGATGTCGATGATTAAGCGTAAGGCATTCGATGTAATAATGTATGGAGAGAATTCAACAGGTTTTAAATAACAGAGGAAGCGTCAAAAAGTGAAGAGAAAACTTGTGAAGAGAAAAGTGAAGAGAAAAGCGCGATGTATGCACTAAGGGACAAGAAAGGCGAAGTAACTACCAATACGGATAGTTAAAATATCGGAGGAGTTTTTCACGGATCTGTACAGCATTGAATTGAATTGAATGTTAATTTGTACAAGGATGGCCCAACAGCTGTTAAGAGATCTGTAAAAACTGTTGTTTCCTCAGTAAAGTCCGAATCCTATAATACTACAACGCCTAAAAGGGCTACGTTGATTACTTTGGAGGTTGGTTGCAGTTACTCCACAATGCTCTACAGGAGAAATTCAGTATGTTCATATTGGCCTTACTCTTCAAGAACGGGCAACCAAGAGAGATAAAGTGGGTCTATATACCATAATTACACTTGTTTACGACTAACAACCTCTAGGATTAATTGCATTAAGGTAGTAGCTTTCTTCAATAAGAACACGTGACGGCTGTTTCTTGACGTAATTTTTTCACCGTTGCATGTTCATGCATGTACTATATATAGAAAGGAGTAAATGCCGGCTGCGACTCGGATAGAGTTTGGAGGATGAAGGAAGATTGCAAACAGATGCTTGCAGACAGTACATCCCGAAATGCGGGCCAGCAGTTTTCCGTATACGGGACACAAAAGTATGTCTCAAAAAAAAAAGCGCGCTGTAAAAAGGTCGGAAATAAGGCTCCCTTCACAATATATGACAATATGTCAAATGTTAAAAAGCTTCCGGGAGAGCCCTTGCGCCCATTTAATCGCAACGTAAATGTTTGCTTTTGGGTGACAGGAATTTAACAGTATGGCTGGCCATACATTAAACACTGAGGCTTTTGGAATTTACAATGTTCGCAACGTAAACGTCTGTATCATCTGTAGCGAAAGATCGAGAGATAGAGAAAAGTGAAAGAGAGACAGTGAGGTTAACCGAAAAAGATTTCCCGTTGGCTACCCTGTGATGAGGAAGAGGAAAATGGCTTCAAAAGGAAACATACTTAGAAGTGGAATGGAAGTAAGAATAAAGAAAGTCCTGGACATACAACATGGAGCAAAATGAAAAAATTCGGGAGCTTTTAAAGCGAAGCATGACATGAATTTGGCCGAAAGGGCACTTTCTTTTTCTTTTTTTTTCATCAGCTTTTTATTTATTTATTGATTTATTTATCTTTTTTCTTTTATGTTTCTTTCTCATTTGTTTATCTCAAACTTTCTCTATTTTCTCCTTCTTTCTCTTGTTTTCTGTTATTTTTTTCTTTCACAATAGTCATTCATCGAGATGCTTAGCTGTGCACCACTTGAGTTACAATAGTCGAAAATGACGGCAGTTAGTTCCTATCGAGACTGAAATTAAATGACGCAACGTAAATGCGCAAGTCACCCCAGTAAACTAAAATAGATTGCCCTATTACAAACGTCGGATTACGAACAAGCCCATCACTGAGAGCCCTAATTATTCTAAAACTTGCTTGTACAAACACAAACGTGACCAGAGCCCCTGCGACGACCGAATGTTTGTGCGCTCACGGGTGCCAGACCTTCAGTGCCCGAGGCCAAAGAACCATGCAGGTCGTAGCAGGCTTAGCTTGATTTAAATAAACAGCGCTAACGTGGTGCAGCTTTTCGAAATTTCATTGCAGTGAACATAGGTGCGTTCGCATTTAGAGAAAAAAAAAAAGCGGATAATTAAAGGCACCGGCTCGTGCCGCACTGTAAACGTTGTGGGACACGGAAAACAGTGCAATCACACTGAGTGCTCGGGTGTGGCCTTTGTGGTAATTCGGCGAGTGATTTTCAGGCGTTCATTCGTTATCCGCATTGCATTAACGAGCCAACCAGCACCACGTGAATAAGTTGAAGTTAATTCAATTTTTTAAGGTGGATACTTTATGTGTAGAAGCAATCGGGTGAGAATGAAATAATAACTTTACAAAGCACGTCCGTTCTGTGTTGCGGCTACGCTCTATTACGGCGATTGTCAGGTGACAGACCTCAAAAAATCGAAAGCATCTTATTCTTATGGGTAAATAAAGTATGCTGCTAAATTACCTTTACTTTTTGAGAAACATTTGAAGTTACTATTTTGTCTAAGAAGGCAAGAAAGTGAATCGTTCGCATTACTCACTCCTTTGTTAGACATGACATCATGGAATCAAGCGACAACGAGTGAGTGAGTGAGTAAAAACTTTATTGAACATGTCCGGCGTCATTGAGCGGGGTGGGGCTACAAGCACCCCGGCCTAGGTGACGGCCTCGAGTCCTTGGACCCGGGCGGCATCCTGGGCTTGCCGGACGGCCCACAGTTGATCAGCAAGGTCGTGGCTCAGCAGAGCTGCCTCCCATCGCGCCTCGCGGTTCGAGACTGCCATGTCTACCGGGTTCGTAGGGGACTGCTGCGCGTTACCGGTACACTTCCGCAGCATGTGCTGCAGCGTCGCTCTGGCTCCGCACGCCTTACACGCGTCGGACGTATAAATGCCTGGGTAGCAGAGGCGAAGGATCACCGGATTCGGGTACGTGTGTGTCTGTAGTTGTCTCCAGGCAACCTGCTGTTTCCTGTTTAGTTTGGCGTGGGGTGGTGGATACTTGCATCTGTTCAGTCTGTAGTGTTGCGTGATGTCTCTGAAAGTGGTCATGCGTTCCCCCCACGTCCATTCCCGCATCGCTGTCGAAGTGTGCGAGACATCGGGACTGTCGGCAGGCGTCGCAGCTCGCCGTGTAAATAAATCCTCGAGCCGCGGCGTGGGCAGTCGCGTTGCCCGCAAGCGGAGGGTCCGTGTGGGCGGGGGTCCATACGAGGAAACTGTCGTTTTTGCAGCAGATGTTGCGTTCGTGAATTTGGAGAATGCGGGCCGCTTCGCGGGAGATACGGCCACTGGCGTAGTTGCGTATCGCCGCCTGCGAGTCACCTATTATCACCTCGGCGTCCGTGGTGGCTATCGCGAGGGCTATGGCAGCTTCTTCGGCCGCCTCCGTGTCTTCCGTGCCTATCGTCGCACTCGTGACGCAAGTTCCTACATGATCCGTGATCGCGACCGCGAAGCCGCGGTGGCAGTCGTAACGGGCCGCGTCCACGTACACTGTGTCTGCTATTGTAATAACGTGAGCAGCAGACAGCATACCAAGAAGCAACTGATAAGTTTATTAGAAGACGCACCATATATAGGCGCAGAACCACGTGATCGGTCGCACAGGAATGCGCGCACTGGGTGCGCAGTGATAAGTGACGTCACGCTACAACACTCCTTCCCCTTCAGATTACTTCCGAAAATCACTGGACTGGTATCTGTTCGGGGCATGTCGTACACGTGCACTACGACGCAGAGTTGAAAGTTCGGCTGCAGGTGGCGCGTCGTCGGCACTGGGCTGGTCCGGCGAGCCGGAGGCAGCTGCTCCGGCCGTGGGCGATGCAGTTGCCGGAAGGAGAGACGTCGCAGAGTCGGTTGCGTGTGGATTTACGAGAGGCGACCCGGCGACTGGCCCACACGCCATCGGAACCGTCGGTGGAGTCGTGTCTACGGATGCCGTTGGAGCAGGTTGTGCCTGCGGATAACTTGAAGAATCCTGGCTTCCGTGGCGGGCTCTGATGTGGTCCGAATGCGTAAATCGCACCGCCTGCGACACTTTCACCAGATAGGTTACGGGACTGATAACCTGTGTCACGACACCATCTTCCCACGACACTGTTTCACCTCGCACAGTCTTCACCCACACAGCGTCCCCCACAGCAAAACATCGCGGAACCCCCCTAGACATGTCCTTTTGCACTTTGGTACGCTGCTGCTGCTCCCGCATGGAGAGCTCGAAATCTGGTTTTAGCAATGACAGCTTTACCCGTGGCTGTCTTTTCAAGAATAATTCTGCCGGGGTCTGGCGAGTGGTACTGTGCGGAGTAGTCCTGTAACTCATTAGATAGCTGTCCAAGCGTTCCCGAAATGAATGTTTGTGGTGGCTAGCTTTGTCCTGCAAGACATGCTTTGACAGTGCTTGTTTGGTAGTCTGCACTAAACGCTCGGCCGCTCCGTTAGAAGCCGCGTGATAAGGAGGTGTCTTGACATGCCTTACACCGTTTACACTCAAGAAGGCCGCGAACTCTTCGGAAATGAACTGCGGTCCATTATCACTCACCAGTACCTCTGGCAGACCATACGCGGCAAACATACTACGTAGCTTCTCAATGGTTTTGTTAGCAGTAGTGGATGACATAGGCGAGACCTCGATCCATTTAGAGAACGCGTCGACGAGAACCAAGAACGCCTGAGAGCCCGTTACCGCATAATCGACGTGCACGCGTTGCCAGGGCCTTGTGGGATAATTCCATGGTTGCAAAGGAACCGGTGAAGCAGCTTTTTGGACGGCCTGACAAACCTGACATTGTCGAACGTAGCTCTCAACCGAAAGGTCGAGGCCAGGCCACCACACAAAGCTTCTTGCTAACGCTTTCATGCGACTAGATCCCGGGTGGTCCTCATGCAATAGCTGCAAGACCTGTAGCTGGAGCTTATCAGGTATGATCACCCTTGATCCCCACGTTATGCATTCTTGCTCTACTGATAGCTCGTCGCGCCGGGAATAAAATGGTCTAAATGCTTCAGAGCACTCTGAAGGCCATCCATTTAAGATGAAGTGCGTCACGCGAGACAAGGTGGGATCACGTCGTGTGGCTCGCGCTACGTCATCCGCTTTGAGGGGCATGCTGTCAAATAGCAAGAGACACTCGGAAGGTTCATCGGCCGCTACAATAGGCCGTGGAAGCCGAGACAGAGCGTCAGCCACTTCAACATTTCTTCCCTTTCGGTATTTTAGTTTATACTGGTACGCTGCCAGGGTAATTGCCCATCTTTGCATTCGAGCTGCAGCAAGCGCAGGCACCGGCTTGTCGTGGCCTAATATTCCGAGCAATGGCTGATGATCTGTATAAAGAGTGAACTCTCGTCCATACAAGTAGCGGTGGAATTTTCTTAACCCAAACATCAGTGCTAATGCTTCGCGTTCGCACTGAGCATAGTTTTTCTCTGCGGCTGTAAGTGTTCTAAAAGCAAATGCCACTGGCCTTTCGTGTCCCTCTGCGGTCTCATGAAAAATGACAGCCCCCAATCCATACGACGAAGCGTCACATGTCATAGCCATTGGTTTCGCCACATCGTAAAAAGTGAGCACATTACTCTTGACAAGTAACAGTTTCGTAGAAGCAAATGCTTCGCTACACTCCCGTGTCCACGACCACCTTTCGCCCTTGCGCAACAGACGGTACAATGGCTCTGCCACGCAGGCAAGGTTACTTAAGAACTTTGCATAAAAGGTTAACATGCCGAGATAAGCCTTTAGCTCTGTTTGGCAAGTGGGCTCTGGCGCTTCTGTGATCGCCTTTATCTTTTCTTCTGTAGGATATATACCTTCAGCGCACACAGTGTGACCGAGATAAGTCACAGTGCTCTGAAAAAACCGACACTTTTCCTCTTTCAGTGTCACGTTGTAGTCACTCAGCCGCTGCAGGACTAGTTCCAACGTTTTTTGACAGTCGGCTAAGTCTTTTCCCGACACAATGACGTCGTCTATGTAACATCCCACGTGCGGTATGCCTTTGAGCACCTCATCCATGAAGGACTGAAAAATGGCTGGCGCACTGGCTACCCCAAATGGTAAGCGCTGGAACTCGAACAGCCCCCTGTGCGTATTAATAGTTAGCAGTGGTCGGGACTCGGCAGTGAGCGGAATCTGCTGATACGCGGCCGAAAGATCCAACACACAAAACCCTCTGCCGCCAGCTATGGCAGAGAACAAATCTTCCGGTCTAGGCAATGGGTAGTGGTCGGTCTTTAAAACAGGATTAATGGTGACTTTGTAGTCCCCGCACAGCCTCAGTGAACCATCTTTCTTTTGGATTACGACTACTGGCGTGGCCCAATCGCTCCGATTTACGGGGCGTATAACACCGCTTTTCTCTAGCCTTTCTAGCTCGCCTTCCACTTTATCTCGAAGCGCAAATGGGACGTTTCTGGCCTTGCCAAAAATAGCCGTACAATTCTGGCTTAAAACTATCCTTGCTTGATAGTTTTTTACTTTTCCAGGTTGCTTAGAAAACACCCCTGGGAACTTCTTTTTAACCGCCTCTACCTTGTGAGAGTCGCTTACATTTATAGCAAACACGCTTTTCCAGTCAAGCCCGAGCCTTTCAAGCCAACTTCGCCCCATCAGCAATGGTAGCTGCTTGCCGTTATCCTTGACGATAATAGCGGGTAGCCGCAAAGACTGTTTTCCCACCGTAACGGAAACGTTGCATTGCCCTTTTACTGGAACAGGTTCCCCAGTGTATGTTTTTAGGGTGACTCGAGATGGCTCGCACTTGACATGAGGAAATGCGTTCAGCCTCACACTCTCAGGAATTAGTGTTACAGCTGCTCCCGTATCAATCTGCATGCAGAGGTCTTGCCCTTCTACGTTTAGCTGCACTTCATACCCAGAACGCACGGTATTGATAACATGGTACACATCTAATTCAGAGTCACTATCAGAGCAGTCCACCACGTTTGCAGTCTTGAGTTCTCTGCGATTACTTGGACACATCTTCTGTAGATGACCGATTTGAGAACAGCTGTGACACTGGACGTTCTTATACCAACAAACACTAGCCGCATGCGCCTTGCCACATCTTTCGCAAACTCGCTTGGCTTCCTTGAGCTTCCGAAGCTTCGATTTCTTTTCGCTTCCTTTTCCTCTTATCGCCATTGCATAAAAAGCCGCTTCCTTGCCTTCTGCATGAAGTAACGCTGTCTGTCGCGCAGCCTGCTCTCGGTCCTGGGCTATCTTGCACGCCTTTTCGAAGGTTAAATCTTCAGCAAATAGGGCGAGTTGCGTTTCCTCGCGTCTTATGCCTGCCACTATTCTGTCTCGCAGCGCGTCTTGCAGAAACTGACCGAAATCGCACTTCCTTGCTAACTGTTTTAAGGCCACTATGAAGTCCTCGACGCTTTCCTGCTCTTCTTGTGCTCGCTTGTTAAATTTGCAACGTTCGGCAATGACCGAGCACTGTGGGCTATAGTGTTTCTTCAACAGCACTGTGACCTCTTCAAAGGACTTGTCCCCAGGAACAGCGGGTACTACCAAACTTTTGAGCACCTCGTACGTTCGTGGTCCTATCACACTCAAGAATACTGCCAGCTTCTTTTCCTCTCTGATGTCATTTGCGGTGACGAAGTGCTCAAAACGCTCCAGATAGGATTCAAAATTCTGATCCTTCTCGTCGAACTCGTCTAGCTTGCCTAGTCGCGCCATTGTTCAGTAAAAGTGCAGTATACTTATCGGGTTGCTTTCCCCGAAGACTGCGTTGCCTCTTGCCGAAGGTAGTGCCGCCGAGTTCAACCGTCCCAGGCCATGGCTGCCGTTGTTTGCTGGTCCATGGCTGTCGACCGCCGATCGCCCGCAATACTGCTTCGTACTGAGCTAGTACAAGGGGGCGGATCCCATCCTCGTCGCCAGTGTAATAACGTGAGCAGCAGACAGCATACCAAGAAGCAACTGATAAGTTTATTAGAAGACGCACCATATATAGGCGCAGAACCACGTGATCGGTCGCACAGGAATGCGCGCACTGGGTGCGCAGTGATAAGTGACGTCACGCTACAACAGCTATTGCCGAATTTCTTTTCAAGGTCTTGGGCGCGCCTGTTGCGCCGACCGATGTGATGTGTCGGGTGCATGTTCTTAGGCAACGGCATAACGACGATGCGCTCGCGAATACGTCTGGGTATCCCGACCTTTTCGCCGCGCTGCGTATGGTAGTTGATACCCAGTGTCTCGAGAATGTGTCGACCAGTTCTGGTCTTCGCCAGACGTTCGTACTGGGCGATGTTGTGTGCTTCGATTATCTCATCTAGAGTATTGTGCAACCCCAGCTCAAGAAATTTTTCCGTGCTGGTATTGGCCGGTAATCAGATTGCGCGTTTGTACGCCTTGCGGATGAGACAATCTAGTTTGGTGCGTTCAGTCGCCTGCCACTTGAGGTAGGAGGCGACGTACGTTATATGGTTCATAGCGAAAGCATGTACCAGGCGAATGGTGTTGCTTTCCTTCATTCCGCTATGCCGATTTGTTATCCGTTTCAGCAACCGGATTGTTTCATTGACCGCGCCCTCTAGTCTGCGAGCGGTTTCGCCGTTGTGGCCGTTGGCGGACAGGCGCAAGCCCAGTACCCTAATGGTGTTAACTTGTGGGATGACAGCGCCGTCTGATGTGCGTACATTAATTTCTCTATATGCGCACTCGAATGCGGAATCGGCGTTCTTGGGTTTACGGCCCCTGCGCGATGGTCTATAGAGCAGGAGCTCCAATTTAGCTGCGGAACATTCGAGGCCAGTGTCGCGAAGGTAGTCCTGCACCACGTCGACGGCTTCCTGCAGCGTTTGCTCTACGTGGCCGTCATTTCCCTCGGCAACCCAGAGGGTGATATCATCGGCGTACAAGCTATGGTGGAGGCCTTCTATCTCAGCGAGTTTTCGTGGTAATCCGACAAGCACGAGGTTAAAGAGCATGGGCGAGATTACGGAGCCCTGCGGCGTGCCCGTACAACCCATGTATATCTCCTGCGATTCTAGTTCGCCGATCGCTAATCGGGCCCGGCGGCCCGTAAGAAAATCCCGTACGTAGTGGTACGTTCTCTCGCCAAGTCCCAACGCTCGTATACTTTCAAGTATCGCAGCATGGCTAACGTTGTCGAACGCGTTTTTGAGGTCGAGCCCGAGTATCGCTTTGGTGGATCGTGTGGGATTGTCTACGATATCGTGCTTGAGTTGAAGCATAACGTCCTGTGTGGAAAGGTTACGACGGAACCCCAGCATCGTGTGTGGGAGCATGTTTCGGTCCTCGAGGTAGTTGGTAAGGCGAGCGAGAACCACATGTTCCATGACCTTACCAACGCAGGACGTCAGGGATATCGGTCGAAGGTTGTCAATCTGTACTCGTTTGCCCGGTTTGGGGATCATAATTATGCGCGCCGTTTTCCACGAGTTCGGTATAGCGCCCGCATTCCAGCACTCGTTCATGTAAGCCGTCAGTTGTTCTATCGACTCATCGTCCAAGTTACGTAGCGCTTTGTTGGTTATCCCGTCTGGGCCTGGCGCCGACTTTGTGTTGAGCCTGTGCAGCACCGCCCTCACCTCTGCAACGCTGAAGTCCTCGTCTAGCTCCGCGTTACCCTCACCCTCCCAGGCGTATGCCGAGAGCGCGAGGGGGCTACGTGACTGAAAGTAACGGCTTCGCACGTCATCTAGAAAGTCCGCGTGGGTGCCTTTGTAGTCGTGCAGCAACTTGTTATGCTTATGTGCGTGCGATGTTTTCGTCTCCTCTGGATCCAAGAGGTGCCGGAGGAGATGCCACGTCTTGGCCCGTCCCAGCTGGTTCTCCATCCCATTGCAGATCTCTTCCCATTGCGTTTTGCATACCTGTAACGCGTGCTCTTCCATGTCCCTGCTTAGCCGTTCTATGCGTCTGCGCAGCGTTCGATTGTGGCGTTGACGCTTCCACCTGTCTTGCAGGCTGCGCTTGGCTTCCCACATGTGTAGGAGTTTGCTGTCTACCACTTCGAGCTGGGCTTCTGGCGGAACCTCCCGCGTCGCCGTTTCTAAATCCCCCTTGAGCGTCGCAGTCCAGCTATCTATATCCTCAATAGCCGCATTGCCACGATTCTGCTCTTTCCGGACTTTGCGAAACGCGTCCCAATCCACCAGCCGGTGGTTCTTGCCCTTGGTACCTTCCCGATGAACGCAATGGTGAGGTTCAGCGTCGACCTGGATCTCGATCACTGAGTGATCGCTACCCAGGTCCTCCTGTGTATTGTGCCATCGCGCGCTAGCAACGTTCTTGGTAAATGTGAGGTCGGGTGAGGTGTCTGCACATACGCTGTTACCCCTGCGCGTAGGCGCGGAAGGGTCTGTGATGAGCTCGAGGCCCTCATTCTGCGCATCATCCCAAAGGCGCTTACCTTTTGGCGTTTCGTAGCCGTACCCCCACGCCGCGTGGGGCGCGTTGAAGTCGCCCGCGATGAGCAAGGCCCCGTCGGCAGCTGCCTCGCGCGCCTCTCGCAGTAACGTGCTAAAGCGGTGTCTGGCTTTGGGTCTGCTATACACGTTCAGCACAAACAGGCTGGGGCCGCGCCCTTTCGTCGAAATGAGCTCTATGAATACATGCGGTATGCTAACGTTCATAAGTTTGCGTTGCGCCACGGTGAGGTTGCGCCGCACTAGCGTTGCAGCGGCCGGTGGGGCCCCCGCGGTCACAGCTTCGTCTATAGATTTGTACCCCGCCAGCTTGACCGGGTCATTGGTTTCCTGCAATAGTATTACGTCCGGTCGTTGCCGGCTACGTAATAATTGTTGGAGAAGCGCCCGTTTCCTCCTGTACTCCCTGCAGTTCCACTGCCAGATAGTGAACGTGTTTCGTGTGTTATGCTGTTGTGGGCGTTGTGTTTGTGTGGTTTCGTGTCGAGCCATGGTGACTGTACGTGTTATGGTTTGCCGTCCGGCTGATCCTGCGCCTCTTCGTCGGGTAACGGCCTAAAGTACGGTTTCCCAGTCGTTCGTACTGGGCGACCCACTGCGGCCGGAAGTCGCATTTCGATATTGTCTATGCGCGTTTGCAGCGTCGCGACCATTTTTGTGAGCTGAGATATTGCAATGCTCAACTGTTCGGTTTGTGCGGTTTGCTGAGCGATTGCGTTGTTAAGTTGCGCGGTTTGCTGCGCGTGTTGGGTCATCATCGCGTCTACCTTGTCGTCGAGTCTATCGACTTGTTCACGGAGTTTCTCCTCGCGTTTCTGCGATTTGGCGTCGAATTGTTCCGGGTCAAGTGCCTTACGTTTGGTGGGTGCGGGGTGCGCGTCTTGAGCCTCCATGACTTCCTCCACTCTCTCGGCTGTACTAGCAGCCGCGTCGGCTGCGACGGGTTTAATTGGAGGAGGAGGAGGAAAGGGAACTGTCGGGGCCTCCCCCTTCAACGTGGCAATTTCGTTTCTCAACCTTGCATTTTCTTGCTTTAGTTCTTGAATTAATGATTCGAATTGATCCAATCGTTTCTGCACTAGACTTTCTGGGTCACTGTTGCGTTTGTAAGCAGAGCTGCTGCGTCTGTCTACATCTGGGTTTCTATCATTGGCAGTCTCGGTTCGCGTTAGCCGTGCGCTGGGCGCGCGTCCGGAGGCGACGTCCACCCACCTCAATTTATGGGGGTCAACCGCTCCTCCACCTTTGGCTGCCGCTGTGTGGTTGGCTCGGGCCGTCGACGTGCTGCGAGGCTTCGCTGAACGGGGTCGGGAGACGCTGCGAGAGCGGGCTCGAGAACGAGTACGGGAGCGAGTGCGGCTCCGCGCGCGGGTCTCCCTCGAGGCCGATCGACTGTTGCCGCGACGTCGTCTCGGTGCGTGGCGTCGTCCGTAGCCCTCCTCCCCGTCGTTGACGGTGCTGCTACTGCTGGAAGCGGCCTCAGCCTCCTCGCGCATTCTGCGTTCCCACTGTCGGCGCTTGACTAGGTAGGGCGTCTTGTACTTAGCTTTGCACTTGCGGTCTCCGGTGAGGTGACCCTTTCCGCACAGTTGGCACACCGGCTCGCACCGATG